ATTGTGTTGCTTTTACTGAAAATGAAGCCGGTGTTAATAACCAAAAATTGGGAGCATTTGTATTAAAAAAATATGATGATTGGAAACATGCATTGGAAGACTTTAAAAATCATTCGAATTTAGAATATCACAATCAATAGAATTTTTATTATAAATAATTAATAATATAATATTTATAACATTCTGTACTTACTATGTGCATATTAAATAATATTTAACTGCCATGAGTTACGTAAACCTTATTGTATTTGTTTTGCTATTTTGCCTATTAATATTTATACGTGTAATGTGTTTGATTGTTAGGAAAATGGGTAGTTGCAAAGAGAAGGTTTTAATGGTGGTTATTTTTTTTAAACCTCCCCCAGAGCAAATTTGAATGTACGCCACTGTAGGTACCTATAATATGATAAAAATGTTGGCTGCAAGCTTTTTCTTAACAAGTATCAATGTACAGAACCTTTTTTAATTTAAATGTGTTTTTGGATTGAGTAGGTACAGTTATTTTATTTTTTTAACCAATAGGATACCTCTTTGCTGTACACATTTTTTATGTTAGCGATGAAAATAAAAACTTTTATGAATTTCTAACTGAGAAATAATTTACAAAACTTGAATGATTTCTCATAGCTATAAATAGCTCAAAATAAGTTAAAATAGTTTTAAAATTCTTCAATATATGGATAATACTAATATAAATATTCTGTCAAAACAATAAAATCAATTTTTCTAAAAATTGTTTTTTCGTAAAAATTATAATTTTTTTTTGTTTCACCCGACGCTTTCAGAACTACTGAGAATTTTCAATTTTGACCTTCCGATTGCACCAACTAGATTTACTTTTCAATCAGAAGGGATGCTGATGTCGATAATATTTACTACCCCCAAAGTTGATGACAGAAAAAAAACGTCGTTGTAAGTACAATCGCTACGCTCAAAATCTAAAATCATTGTGGGAATTTTGAGTATACCTTCAGTCAACAATACATTTATTATTATAAGGCAGATCATCTGCTACATATACCTGCCTAAGATATGTAATTTATCTATATTATATTTAAATCTGAAATTATTTAATTTTTTTTCGGTATCTTATGAATAAATTAACGTATAATATATGTTAACGATACACGTCCATACATTTTTTGTTAAAATTCATTTCACAAGGGTGAGGATTCGGACTATACATAAACTATAAGTAGTCACTATGATAAAATAAAAAACACTGTGTTGTGTGTACCTAATATCATTATTTTTATTGATACCTATCAGAAATCAGAATACGAAAAACATAATTATTGTTTTAAATCCGTCAATATTATGTTTGTAAACTGGAATACAGTTTTTGTAAATGTGACATTAAAAATATAAAAATTATATAATAATTAAAAGTAATTTTTTTTATAGTGAATAAATATTTGAATGGTTTTTATCTATAGAGATTTATTATATAGACTGTCTATAAATCAAATTGTAGCCTATTCGATATTTCTTTCCTTCTCAAATCTATTTATCTATATAATTTAGTATAATTTAATAATTAAGTAACAACATTACTATTGATGGTACCTACTGTTTAATGATTACCTACTTATAAGTTACTTTGAATTGGTATTCAAATATATTTAAAATTTAAATTGTATATTTTCATTTAAAAATGTCATTAAAATTATTTATATAAAACTCTTTATTAGTTAGTATTTATTAAATTTCTGAATAATTTATTCAAAACAACATATATCTACAAGACAATAATTCTTTTTTCCGTTTTTTAAGTCTCATCGTGAATAGATCTTGGTTTTCTTTTGATCATTTAAAAACAATATATTAAAATGAAAATAATAAATTCTTACATACAATTGATAGAAAGATAAACAATTTATGTTAACTCTTATAAACAATGTAAAAGCACGTGTCTGTTTAAATGTGTCTGTAAAATTAGTATAGGTACACCTACCTACCTATAGGGGAAAAAATCGAATTTGAATAATATATTTTTTGGGTTTTTTCAATTAGAGTAGTGTATGTAAACTATACGAGGGTGAAAATGAAGAAGAAGAGCGATAGCATAGTCGTTTTCATCAAATGGCCAGCCAGTAGAATATAGTTTTATTCCTCTCTCGTTGATCATTAATCACAAGTTTTTACGAGCGTTTTCCCCTGTGTCTACCACGTTTTGCCCGCAGTTGGACCGGCTGGAAAACAGTTTTAATTAACAGCTAAATGTCTCTAATAGCTCCCTCGACATTACTTTAATCTGGAGCTAATTAGAGCTGCGGCGAAAACTCTCCTCCTCCCTAAACGCCGCCTGTTCACATTGGCACGTTGGTGGACCGCTGCTTGCTTGCTCCGCCTAACATAAAACCACTTTTTAATCTCTGAAGGAAATTGTAAACTCGCCCTAGCTCATTTGTTTTCTTTAACGGGGCCATCGTTCGTATGTATTTAGGATCAATGTCACACATTTAACCTATTGAATTAATGCGTTTATACTGTAATTAACGAGAACATATTTTTGTAAAATATGTTATTAACTGTTATTAATAACACAATTTTAGTAATTGAATTCACCGCGTATTATAATTTTCACATTGTTGGTGTCCAGTATAGGTATAAATATTTTATTGACGTGCAATAGCGTAATATTTTGTTTAACGAAAATTTGATTTTTGATTATTAAAACATATGAGGTTAATATCGACGATATAATTCTATATTTGTATTACAATTTATAATATTATTGTTTCATATTTTAACCATACCTAGCGATAATTGCGTATACCTACGTCTATATTACATAAAATATAATCTATTCAAATTATTAAGCGATGGATTACTGCAAGACTATAATAATGTACCTAATTAAATTAATTGAACAGTAATTTCGCAATATTTCTACTTTTGTAACCAGGTGTTGTATACCTATTTGTATTGCATAGTGGTAATATTAGGCAGTAGCCTATGCGTGTTAATTATCGTATGGTGTATTACTGTATTGCATAGATATATATGGTGAAACTATAAAACATGCTGCATTTGAATGTAACTATAATATAATCATGGTAAAATTCTCAAATTTAAAATTATTAAAATTATATTTTAGGTTAGCATTTACATAGGTACAATCTGAGTTGATTTGATTTATGATATTTATTTTGAGGTTTTCAAACAAGAACTTAAGTTGGTTGTCATATAACAAATTTTATGTGATAAAAACTTCATTCAACATCGACAGAAGTAATGTAACCTATATTAAAATTTATCAATTTATTGGTTTTTTTTTATTATTATTTAAAATAGATTTTTAATTTTTCAAAATACGGGCTTATTTACTATTTTTTTATGATATGAATTTATTCCTATTAACCCATAAATATACAAAGTAACATGTAATGTATCTGATTCTATGTCTTACAAAACGAATTTATAACTTGTTCTGCAGTGTACACGGCTAAAATAAAAATATGAAAAATACATAAACATAATATTATACTAACCCTATGATTACTATACTATAATATAAACCATATATTATTATGTACATTTAGGTACGGACGAAATTGTGTCATAATACTATAACTTATTCGTTCAATTCTCTTTAATCACATTTGTTTATAATACCTTAACATCATTGATATATTTAAGATATGTGACTTCCCCTTTTTATGTTGATATTTATAATTGTATCTATAACTAATAATACAATTGTCAAATAGGGATTAAATGAAATTAAAATTAAAACGCAAGACCTTGATCAATGTGTGTTTAAAGAATTGTACCTACTAAAAATTGAGTCGACTGATCGAACTTCAGTCGAGCCACTGTTCAACAACCTGCAGGTACCATATAAAATATAGTACCTAAGTACCTAGTAGATAACTATAATATACATGGATAATCTAGATCCACAAGACATATTATGTTGCCTTCCGATAAGATAAATTGTTATACCCATTCAACATGCATAAAGCGAATTCTAAGGAGATTTTATGAAGGTTTATAGCTAATTTATAATAACTATTTATTTAGTCACACACATAATTCGAAACAGGTAATCAATTCGGGTTTAGTGTAGGCCACATAAAATAAATGAGTAAGACGATGAATTCATATTCTAAATTGTAATAGGTACCTACCAATCTATTATTACAGTTGTCAGTTTGGTACCTACATAAGATTTTGATGATAAATTGATGCAATTTTGTTTTATATAATATGTAATTTTATTTTTATTAAATATTCACATAATATCATGTAGTTATTTACAATTCACATGAATAAAGCGTGCACTTATACAATTTTCAGATTTTGATTGAATACTATCATTTATCCATTAAATATGTTTCATATTATCTATTATTTAAAATATTTCATAATAATATTAAAATTAGTAGGTAGTAAGTACGAATAAAAACAGTCACACAAAAACATACAATTATCTCTCTCGTAAAACTAAAATAAATATTTTACAATATTGTTAAAGAACATTAAATTTATGTAAAAGTAAATATACTTGGTAAATAACAATATTTTACTAAAATACAAGTATGCACGATGTGTTCATCATAATATTATGAATCACGAATCATGATAATATACTATTTCAGAGGATTATTTTAAACAAGTATATTACTGGAAACCCAGATTAATATTCATTACATAAAATTAAAAATATTAAAGTAATACCTATACTTGTTTTATTAAATAGGTATAATGCTTTCCAAATAATTTCTAAACGCTTAGAAATGTGTTTAGATGAATACATTAGTTTTTGTCTCGTTAATAAGTTATTATGTTATTAAATTATTATTTTATTTAAAAAGTACAATATTATGATATATAAAAAACAATATAATATTATGTGTAATGTGTATCGATTTGATCATATTATTATGTTATAAAATAATTAAAACCAGTTAATAATGTCTATAATACAAACTGACCAACATTGTTATTATTTTGATGGGAACATTATACACAAAATAAATTCACTCGAAAGTCTGTTATGATACGTACGGTCTGTATAACGATTCGCAATTCCCGTCTTGCTCGTGCGATCTAATATTGTTTATAGTGTGATAATTATGGCTTAGTTGAGCAGTAGAATTGTGATGAGATTGTGTTTGAATGGTTGTGGCAGCGGAAGATGTCGGGCAGTCTATTTTTATGCGAGATTCCTCGGGAGATCTAATGTTGGAGTTACTTTGTAGATCATTACTCCCAGTACTGCATGTTCGAATATTTACGGTTCCTCGTTTTTCCAACGCCGTATCGTCTCTCGACGATATTTTAGCTTCTTGCTGAGCTTTTTTACTGCGTTTCCATTTCATCCGGCGATTTTGAAACCAAATTTTTACCTAAATTATAAAATATTACGATTAAACTGTTATCCGTAATTATAGATCATATATTATTACGCTGATTGGTAATCAAATATATAAATATTTCAATGCGTTTTTAGGGAATAAAACCATATTATTTTTAATATCTTAAAGAGATAAAAGTGAAGTCTCTACCTATAGGACTATCCAATAGGAGAAAAATATAAAACGTATAAGAATAGGGGACCAAGAAATTTACGAAATGAGTGAGGAGTTATGAAAATAATTAAGTTTTGATGTATAATATTAATAATTGTACTGTACATCTAACCAGTAAGAACCCAAGTAAAATATTATAGGTTTTTGTTTGTCAAAATGCTATGTTTTCTCAATACTTTGAGTATTATGATAACTTATTTTTGATGTCCTACCTACAGCTAGCTGGCTATTTAAAATAAGTTACCTATATTAATGAGAAAACTGATTACATAAATACCACTATTGTGTTATATGAATAACTAAAATTATACATAGGTAATACATTTATACACAATTTTATAAATTATTACACTTAATGTGTGCGACTCTGTGAGCTACTGAGATATTATGGCTTAATTGTTCTCTCTCAATTACCTCTTATCTGTCGATGGTATATAATACTAATTATTTTTATATGTACACCGTACACCAGGGATGAGTAGCTACCTACTTTCTGAAGCAGCGGGGGAGCGTGGTGAAAGTATACCGCCAGACGTATCTCTATATGTATAGTCTCTACACCTATAGCTACTGCTTCAATTAGCATTCGTATAATATATACATTTCAGGAAATTTAGCAGAATAAGGATTATGTCTGAAACTCTGAAAGGGGACTCCGTGGTGCGAATGTATGTAAGCACTGCACACATATAGGAGGTACCCATAAATATTTATATGTGTATATAATTATAAAAATACAAGTGTAAGATGAAGAAAGTTCTACGAACGTTCTAAGTTTCTGTTTTATACATAAACCTAATTAAATATTACTAGTCTGAAATGAATAAATGATGCATTCTTTTGTTGCAGCATCTATTCAAATTTAAGATAATAAAAGTTTAAACACATGAAGTGATAATTATTAGGTAATATAACTTATAATATAATATATTGATATAAATATTAAATAATATGACAAAACTGCGAAATGATTAATAATAATATAGAGAATAAATTATTAATAATATAATTTAAATGAAATATTTTTTTTGTAAAGTGAACACGTTAATAAAAGTTATAGGAAACAGGCTTGCAAAATTTTTTTTAGATTTAGACTTTAGAGTGGAGTATGTGAGTGAATTAATTGTTATTATATGGTCTTACATTACCTATAATAAGTGATAATAGCGTTTGATATTTTTTACGCGTTTATCCAAAAAAACTTTTATGGTAAAACATCTCAAATGCGTACAAATTTCGGAAAAATATCTATTTATCCATATAATTTGGAGTGTAAATGTATATCTAAAGTAGGTATTCTTAAAAGAGACATGATATAATTACCAATTAGAATGTGGTTGAATAGGTAATACGATTACAATTTAATGGCGTATTGCAATTTATAATATTAGTACCAAATTTACATACTTGACTAATAGAAAAATGACTATGATGATATCACACTTAATCGTGACAGTATAGTCAATTTAAAATACGTAGATTTATAGGCTGTATTGTGCATATACATTAATGTATACTTATATAAAAAAAATTTGTTTGGTTTTAAATTTTTAAGAATTATCTAATAATTGATATCAAAAAATTAATTAGCATATCATTTGTCCAATATATTATTCTTCACCGTTTAACTGTATGCTCCGAGTCTAAAGTCCCAGCGGCCGTTCCCTGCGCAGACGAATAGGTTAATATTATAAGCCCCTACACAAAGCACGTTGTACGTATATTACTAAATTATTATTATTACTGTTATTATTCATTGTTTAATGATCTATTATGTAATTTGTGTATCCATGTTAGTGTATTTACCATTTATACGTTAAACAAATAGCAAATAATAAGTAATAACTCATTTTGCCTGTTATATTTTAGTGTTAAACTTTAGTACCTATACACAATACATACAGGGTTAATTTGTTGTTTTTCATAAAATATGATGAAACCTAAATGTATGTACTAAAACAAAGTGCATAAATTCAACTGTAAACAGACAACAGTGTAAAAACATTTATAAGGAAAAATGTACGTTCTAGAAATTAGCATTAAAAAAAAAAATTGTTCCAAAGTCCCAATTTATAGTTTCCATACCTGAAACGATAATGAGGTCGTACTTATATAGTAGGTACCTATATGCAATTGTATATGACTAATGATTAAATAACATTAAAAGAAAAACTTAATATGTTCTTATATTTCACAAACGCCCATGTTATATATAATTGTACCAATAATTTATAAGTAATTTTCCTTTTAAACATTAACTTAAGACTTAAGAGGATGCTACCCATGCGTTTGTTGTCTCCGTCTTACGACATGGCAAATTTTCGTTCACTAGTTTCAATAGTGGGCTGTTAGTTTTGATATTAGAGTGATTTCACCTATTATCAATTTTTTAGATAATAAATATAAAATTATCTGTGTTTAAGGGTTGGCTTATTTATTCAAAATTTTAATTTTCATGTGAGATATGAGCATTTTTAATTTTTAATATTTCACATACCCATATCTTACTTGAAAATGAAAATTTCAAAAAACCGGAAACACTTAAGCACAGATAATAATCGTATCTAAAATTTTTATAATATCATAAAACTAGCACACTATTGAAACTAGTGAACGACAATTTGCTGTTGTGCGTGTATAAAATGGAGACAACAAATGTATGAGTAGCGTCCTCTTAACTAGATATTACTAACTAGCTACTTATTACTTTTGGTTTGTAACATTTTACAATTATTGATTAAGAGGACATCGCAACAGCATAATATGTTGTCTCCGTCTTACACACGTAGGGCATGTCATAAACTGTTTTGGCGCGGGAAAGAACCTAGAAGGCTACAGTCATAACTAAGAATCGAAATTTTCACCACATAAAAAGGAGAACTTTTGCTGTGCAATACCGTTTTTATTTTTTCAAAATCGGAACTTTAAAAAGTTATTAAACTTTGAAAAACACAAATAATAATGGATTTTGAAACAATAAGAACTTTTTTTGTACACGTGATATCAAAAAAATAAAAATTATATTCCACAGCCAAAGTTCTCTCTTTATGTGGTGAAAATGTCGTTTCTAAGTTATGACTGTAGCTTTCAAGTTAATAGATATTTTTAATACACCAATTAAGTTAAAAAAATACTATTGACTTAACTTAAATTCAATTAATAAATTAATAAGGTGGGCCCAGAGCCTGTACTAATAAAAAATAAGTACGTAATAATTAATAATTAATGAGTAATGATTTATTAATATAATTACAATTACCTACGATACATCGTAGGCCTTATTAGTTATTGATGTCTTTATATGTGCGACTAATGTTAACCCTGCCTATAATAATATTTATTAGAATCTAATTAATACAAAATATTAGTTTCCATCTATAAATGTACCTTTTTTTATATGGTATTTATTTATTTCTATTTATTTTCTATATTCTGCAAACTTATAATCATAAACCGAATACCGGTAATAAACAACATATTTCTCTGGGTAATACAAAAATTGAGAATTAACTTAATTGGGAAAATAAAAATAATATGAGTTGTTAACGTAATGGCAAATGAGTCAAGTTAAAGTTAAGTTAATTAAAACATTGAAGTAGTAAATCAAGTTAATAAGTTAAAATTAACTTAACTCCTAACTCATTAATGCCCAGCCTTGCCTATATGGTCTATGGGTTTACCTATAATAGTAATAAATAATAATAATTTAAATATTCTTACTTGTGTTTCAGTGAGCATTAAATTTGTAGCCACCTCGAATCTTTTAGGTCTGGATAAATATTTGTTTTGTCTGAATTGTTTTTCCAACTCTAGAAGCTGCTGACTAGTGAATGCAGTTCTTGGCCGTCTTGTCTTCCCCAGTAAAGCGTGCGGGTGTGGGCCTGTATAAATGTAATTGTTTGCTTGAAAATGTTATAATTAAAGTATCTGAATTTTTTAATACATCGTAAATACATCAGATTAATATAATTAATAATGTTTTGTGTCCACTGATTTGTTGAAACGTACATTTACCAACAGTCGTTTAAGGTAGACTGTTGGTGTTAAATATGTTGGGTAAAAAACCTATATTATAGTAACCATTATATTTTAGATAAAAACACGGACATCGATTTTCCCAATAGCTAAAACCTACGCTAACCAGAATGTGAAATTTATTTATTCTTGATGCTAAAATACATTTCATTATTATTTATTTAAAAAAAAACCCCGATCACATATACAAACAGTGGGTGTTGATTATTTGTCACGCTTCGTTCGTCCTTCACGCTGCAGGATAATGTTGTATTATAATTTTTGATTTGAAAGCAATGATGAATCATCGAGGACGAAACATGAAACTGAGGGAAGATCGGTTTATTAAAGTGTTTGTCGTTTTTCTAACTTAAAGTGATCATAAACCAAATTTGCATACCAATTTATGAGGGTCTTGTTAACATTAATAACATTATGTATGATTAAAGTAGGTACCTAATCGATAATACTGAAACTAAGCTTGTGTATGTTGATTGTTGACAAAATTAATATTGTCGTGATGTGAATAAATTTACTCATACATCAAAACGTCAAATTATGTAATAAGATGTATGAGATACGTATAAATGTATAATCAACCTATAATTATTTTATAGAATGATGATAGATATATGATTATAATTATAACTTTGTATTAAAATGTTAATTCTATAGTGTGTACTTTAAACATTGAAGTATTATCATACAGTAACAATTGTAAATTTAATTAATTTAAATAATTTTGATATCTTTATAAAATTATATATTGCTTACCTATAACCAGCCAAAGTTATAGGTAATTTTAAACTGATAGGTAAGTACCCTACTTGGCTACCTACACTCTATAACTTATTATGTAGTATTTATAATAATATAGGTAAAACAGAAAATGACAAAAAATAATAACGAACACTTTTTATCATAATTAAAGTTCAAAAACCAATAAAAATAAATTCTGATAGTAATACGTCATAACCTTATGTATCTAATATGTAAGTACGCACTTAATATTTAAATCATCTGCTCATTTGATATTTTAAAAACTTGCATTAGAATATTTATTTAGTGAAAAATTTGTGATTTTGTGCAAAAACTAAATAAATATTATTTATCTCAAACACCAATTTAAATCAAACACAAGGAAAATATTTTCATGACATTAAATACCAGCTTTGAATTTATTATAATAAATAGTCCAACATTATAATATCATATTATTGTGCTTATAAAAAGTTCAAGTAAGTATATTACTATTAAATCGTTAGGTACCAACATCTTTTCAATTACAGAATACGGATTTTTACAAATATGGTAATTGTTACTTTGTAATAATTAATAATAAATTAATTACTACAAAATATTTATAATTTTTTCAAAACTTTCCTGAAACTAATCTTTCTCTCACTCTATAATAAGTATAATAGATTAAATACCTATGTCTTATGTATCTTATAATAGATCATAGTTAGTAAGTTGTAAAAAGTTGTAGAGTTAGGACTTTTATTTATTATTTTAGATTCTGAGTTGAGTGTAATTTCACAAATATTTTTATGAGCGTTATCAGATGTACATATCTAAATCAGTTTATTTGTCTGAATTACGTAACAAAATCAAATGTCAATCATTGGATTCGATTCATATGTTTCTCATCATATAGACCACTCTTGTAAAAATATGTAAATTTCACAATAATTGAACAATGAATTTAATTTGAGTAAAAATGATGTGTTTTGATTTTAATTTTAAATTATTTATAGTTGGTATTTAAAACAAAAAAAAATAGTGCATAAACAAAGTTCAGTATTTCTCCTCTCAAAAACATATTTATGATTCATAGATTTGTCTTGAAGAGGAAAAATATGAATATTACGTTAAAAAACGCCTCGATTTTTTTTCTATAAAAATCAATAAAACGTTTTTCCTCAGTCAAAAAGCTTCACAATTAAAGGTTTCTCATAAGTTGTAATCATAGCTATTTAAAAATATTGAAGATGCAATATAGAGATGATTTTTTTTTATAAGCACTTACTTGAAGTTCAAATTTGTATAGGTACTTACTGAAAACAAAAAACGAAAATAATATTTGAGTACCATTTTTTTTTGGGCAATTTTGAGTTTAAATTCGCTCGTAATTAGTTATTTAAACGAAGATTCAAGATTTTAGTTATATTGTTATAATTCAAAAATATTATTAGGGTTACTTTCAATTGTTATGTGTATTTAATACTTTCCGAAAAAATTAGATTAATTGTATGTTATTGTCCCATCTACCTATTCACACCGTTCTATAGTAAGTAGGTATCGACTCAAAAGTTATTAATAATAATATATGGTATAACAAATATGTGCTGTTAGAATAATAATTATAATAATTAAATATTACCAATATTTTCGGTAAAAATTAAATCAACCTATAGGTACAACTGCCGTAATGTATAATATAAACTACTAAAGAAGCCATTTAAATATATCACAAAATACTCTTAGTAATATCTAGGTTGACGACCTTCGCTCAGTAGCGCTTTTCTTATTTACAATTGAATTCCAATTTAATATATTATACATTACATACAACATAGTACATACTGACTTACTCAATGACGAGGTACACAGTACACACGACTATGCTACCAGCTGTGGAGCAGTGTGAGTTAGTGGTTACCTAGTCCCTTCCCTTTTAAAAAATTAATTTTTTGCCGTGTGCTATGTTGCTTGAATCATTCATCAGAGTATAGAACTATAGAACTATAGAAGTATAGTATTACATAATTATAGAATATTATAATTTATAAACAAGCTTACAAGTGGAGGTATTCGTTTTAATAAACAAGTAATATTTATTAGTTTTGAATACAAATATACTAATGCACCTTTAGCAGACGTAAGAAGGAAATAGAATCAGTAGTCACTAAGAACGATGTTAAATTATTTAACTAACGCACTACATCTGGTTATAATATTAACATATTATTATATTATATTATTCATCTCGAAATCGTTAATTTTCTCATTTTTCTATGTTCAAGCATTATGTTTGAATGTAACGAAACGAGACTAATGTGCAACCTCAAAAATGTTATTATTTATTTTGCTAACTTTTGGTGTACCTTCTGTAGAAGGTATACCTACTGCAATATTATTATGTTATATTGTGCTGAAGTTGAGCTTAGCGAAACGACTGCGTAATTTCGAACAATCATTATACTTTTATAACTTTTTAGTTTTTAGTGTATACATTATATTATATGACTAGTGACTATACTGATTACCTATATGAGATGTTTAATCTGACTGTTTTTAATGTATACCTATTGTAATTAATTATTTTCATAATTGAATTATATACATGAAAATAATATTATTATTATAATATAGTCTATAAAGAATTGTTCATATAATATTTTAAGTCTAAAAACAGTTAAGACTCAAACTCAAAATTGTACATTTTAATATTTTATAAAAAGATTGATAAAATCATCGACGTATAGAATACACTATATAGTCTATAGGTTTATTGTGAAATACTTAACCTTTGCTCAAATTCAAACACTCACAAAATAATTGCAGGCTAAGGGAAATCTTTCTTGTTTTTAGTTTATATGTGTAATGATATAAAATAAATATAATTGACGGTTTTTTTCATTACATAATATAATATTATTATATTAATAGTTACTACCTAACTTTTTAATCACAAACTATTTTCAGTTCTCAGCTCTCTTGTAATCCTTATAATCTTATCCAACTATAGATTATAAAACTAATCGTATCACATATCGTAGTCCGATATGCATTTTATCAGGTTGTCAATTATATCAGTAGATTTCCTATAATGGTAGACTACATACTATTATACCCGGTATTTTTTTTTTTTATCATAAACCTCTCATTACTTCAAAAAGTATTTTTTGAAAAAAAAAATTGTTTTGTGGTTTCGTGTTGAAAATACTTTGCTTTTTACCTTTTTGAATGACTATACATACAGTTTTAATTTCATATGCCAAAGCAGAAAATGCATAGAAGTATTTCGATACATAAAAATTTGAATTTACGGTGAGTAGTTTATGATTTATAAGTACCTATTTAATGTTTTGATGAGCGGAGTAGTGGACCAACATTTTTCGGGTTAAGCACGTATACCTACATTCTACTCCTATCTACCGCTCATCTAAACTTTAAATACTTACAAGCTCTAGCTCCAGATGACGAATGTTGATGACTTTTGCATTTTTTTTTTGGAACATAATAGACGATGTTTTCCTAGCTTAAAATGTGTTTCAATAACAAATGAATCTCAATTCATTTTTATTTTGCCTTATTTTAGGTCTTGTGACTAAGGTAATTTTTACTTTTCTTAAACAATTGACAGAAAAACTACGAGTTAGTTATTTGTAATTATTCTATTTTTATATTTTTCATCAATGGAAAAATTTAATGTTACCTATAATATTACGAAAAATATTTAAACAACATTTTCAATCGTTTTCTTGATTAAAATCAGTTTTAAATTCAAATTTAATAAAAATCACGTATATTTATAAATTATAATATTTTATTTTAAAATTTTATTAACTTTAAAAGTTTGCGTATTTGTATCTAGGTCGTTAACAAAATATAAGTGGCATTTTTTATTTTTGGGGCATTTTATGCGTATTTTATGTCATGAATGCATTTCTTTAGAGTTTTTTGGCAGGTATATTAACATAATATAACATTAAATATTATTACTTTTTGAAATAATGACTAACGAGTGGTCCATGATAAAAAAATCAACCTGTATATTAATACGACCAAAGCTATAACACCTTTACCAAACATTTTTATCGTTTATTATTTTATTTCCAATCGGATTCCAAGCAGAGCTTGT